TTAGGTCTCTGGTTGTGCTAAATATAAGTAATAGCTATTTACGCATAAATACTGATACAATTCAATTAACGATCTAGGGTCTCAGATGAGGTCTAGAGGAAGCCAAGAGGTGTTTTATCTCGTGGGGTGGGTGGATTAGTTCTGAGACTTTGTTATCCTTTCAGTGTTCTCGGTCCCTTATGATCCTGTTCCGTGTTCTATCAAATCCCTTTGCCTAAATCCTTGTGAAACCCTTGTGAAACCCTTGTGAAACCCTTGTGAAACCCTTATGAGTCCGTTCCGTGTTCTGTTTCCTTAAGATTCTAGCGCAAGATGTGATCCAACAACCAACAATATATTGACCGAAATAACTAAAAGAACTCTACAAGTTCCAAGAGGTACTCCGAATGAATACAAGGCTTCCCAAGCGACAATACCAGCAGAGCTGAATACGTCTAGCAAGAAGGGGTGAATTCACTGCCTTCCCTCTCTGAACCTGCCTGTATTTATACAAACGGGTGACACAACATGCAGGACTAATAAATATAATAATAATACAGGATAATTAGCAACGAGCATGCAATGAACACGACGGATAATAAAGCGGTTAAATAGATACTTTGTTCCGAGACCTGTGTTCTGATTTGCTTCTAATCCAGGAGATGGCATCATATTATGATGTGGATTTTACCCGTGTCCAGCCCTTTCTGCAGAACCACGGTTAAATTGTCATATAGTATGACTCCTGGTACGAGGAAAACAGATAAACTACTCCGGCACTTGAATGATGGAGGTAGTGGATCAATCTTCCCTAGACAATGACTGTGTTACCCAATCCAGACCTCGGTCCAAGCATCGAATATCAAACATGCCGTGGATTGATCCGTCAGCTACTGCCAGACTGTTCGGGCTGTGTTCCCACTTTAGCAAAGGTTCCTTTGTTTGTTGATTCCCAACCCCACTAGTGTACTTTCAGGTGTAGTTCGTAGTCAGAATGGATGGTGTGTGTATGTCCTTGGTATAACACTTTATCTCTGTCCCAATTCAATCGAATGGTTGGACTTTGAATTACGTAAATACATAGCAGCTCCCCAGGCCGTTGACCCTCGTGGTATCGGTGACCTGTCAAGTCTTTACTATGTAACTAGAGGCACAGTGCCTTTAGCCAACAGATCGGACCTCTCTATGGCTCTCTATGGGCAAGATATTGATAAACCCTGGTTCCACTTTAGTAAGTGGAACAAGAACGCAGAAATTGGTAAATTTCAGGCTTGGCCATTTTGCATGCTTATCAACGGTATTTTATAATAATAAATGAAGAGAAGAACATATGTATTGGTCTAAAAAATGGCAAGATTTTTCCGTGCTTGGTAAACTCAGAAGACTCAAGAGTCGCAAGCCCAGAGTCCATGACAAGGAGACGCGAAGGATCGCCAGCCCACCCCCGGGAACTATCTACGAAGGTGGAAGAAGGGGTTTTGAGAGATGTAAATAATCATAAATGTGCTCGTTTCGCTAAAAGAAATGAATCAGCACGCAGGGAGATGCAAAGAACCTATGGCGACGCACTCAAAAGCAGTCACCCAAGGCATGAACACACATGCACACGCAGGGACACAGAAAACAATAGCAGGGGGAGGGTGGGCAGAAGTCATTCAAAGAAGTAGGATCTTGACGACGCATAGCACAGATGGAGAGGCCTCCTTCATCCGCCGACGCTCTCTACCTGCTCGATATCTGTGCTCACACACCCCTTCCAGAATTCGAGACTAAAGACAGCAATATTAGGGGGAGGGGTGGGCAGCGGTCGTTCCAAGATTTGACCTTTTGGAAGTCCATGGCTCCCCCATCCGCCGACATGCTCTATCAGCTTAATACCTGTGTCCACACACCCCCCAGGATTCGAGACTCAAGAGCATAGCATGGCTGTTTGTGATGGCAACTCGAACTGGAAAGAAAGGCACCAGCAAATGGGGATGGAAACAGCAACACACCCGAGGAGCAACGCGAGATCTAGATAGGAACGGTGAGGAAAGGAATGCAGTGAAGAGGGAGGGAGCCCACCAAGAAAGGGAAGGAGAGGGATATGATGGACGTCGGGAGCAACAGACGGAGGTGAACTTGGAGTGGCTGATGTTTTTATATGTGTTCGGCGCTTGCCAGAATTTTGGATAGTGTTAATTCGAAGCCAGACCCAAGACCCGCCTGTTATCCAGAGAATGGAGAGAAGCACTGCATGAAATGAAAGATTCGTGGCGTAGGTAGACCCATCATCCGTCCGAGGAATCCAGAGACTAAACACATCAGCACAAATGGTGCTCTCTGAGCTGCAGATCTGGTGGTCAAATGATGCCAGAGGAGCGTGATTCGACTAAGGCTGAGTGGATGCAAAAAGGGCCCATGAAAATGGCAGCTGAGGTGAACGTGTTATGGTACCCAGGCTGTTTGTTTGATTCTACGACCAACAACATTCTGAGCACAGCCTCTTTCTCCATCTCGCCAGCGTCTCTGTTTTGTCTCTGCTCAACAAATCTTCCCTTTTGTCCAAATGGCGGCAATTCGCATTTCATGGTAAGTAGATGTGCTGTTATTTTCCGGTACCAGCTTCCTCTTGAGTTGCTCTTGCACCGTAGCCTTGTTTTGGTCGTCAGGTGCTAATATGACCCCAATGAACCTGCCCTGTGTCCTTTCAAAATATTGTCCGCCTCCGACCCAGTGGGTGCCCTCCCCCTTTCACACCAAATCATCTCTATGGGCTGCCAGTTGGAGTCCAGAATGAGTCTATGTGGCGGCATGAGATCTTGAAAACTCGACCAGGCATAGAATATTTTTGCTGCCTGCATGCAGGACACGGCCGAGGTGTCTTTCCATGTCAAACCAAATAATGGGTGGGTCAGCGGGTCAATGGGTCAATGCCACAATGGAAAGTTGATTGAAGGATTGGAGTCCATTTGAACATACCCGACTGGGTGGACTGGCAACTGTCCCTCCTTGTCCCTCCCTTCCCTCGACTCTGATTTGGTCCATAGCAGAGTACTTCCATCTTGCGGAACCTGACCCCGAATTTGCCCCCTACATCCCTCAGTTAAAAACGGCCCCTCCTCTCCCGCGAGACGACCTGGGTACACGAAGAAGCGAGTTTTTGACCATACAGCGACTTCTATCGCCCTTGATTGCCAAAAGGTGCTTGTCCCAGCCTAATCCCAATCCTTTTTTTTTGACGTCTTTGTTTCGCATCAGACACAGAGTGCCATGTGATCGAGCATCAGGTCAACGTCACAGGCAAGAATATTCCGGTTAGAAGCCTTGGACTGACCAGTGGCTCAAAACTTATCTGTTTATGGTGTGGATCCATGCAGTGGCAGAAGTATAGGCTCCCATATTGCGGCGCTTGGTAGCATATTCCTTCAGGATGGATTGACAGGAGCATCGAGCTAGATGACTTCCTTCCAATTGAGGGTGGTATCCGTTGAACTACAGATTTCCATCGTAAATGTCGAATATCGGTTCGTAAATCAAACATTCTGGGATCTGGTGGCTCACCTTTCCCTAAGGCTGGCTCCAGAGCATCCCCACCCCATTGGGCTGAATGACTGCTATTCCACTCTGAAATGGTATCTAGTCTTCATGTTTATTTTTTTTCTTACTTACACTTACAGATAATTATCCAGGCGGCAGAATCCCAGAGCGTATTGTGTGCGGATTTGAAGAAGGGTTTCATCGTTGCTGGCCTGTTGGCAGGAGGAAATCTTGCTGCCATTCCCTCCCTTCGGGCTCGGGACGACATATTTTTTACAGACAGGCAAATGTCTGGACAAATTCTTCAAGTTCCAAGCCTTCTTCATCCCAATGGTGTTCAGGACAAGTGTGTAGATAATCAAGTACGAGAAAATCACGATACCGACTGTTTGCAAAGATACAAACCTTTCCTGTTCATCGGGCTTCTTACAGATCACTTGTCGGCTCTTGCCGGCGCTTGTACAAGCTTGTACAAGTATCAAAAGTTGACAAGCCGACAAGCTCACAAGTCATGTCGAAAAAATGACAAGTTCGGAAAAACGAAAAAATTCTGAGTGGGTACATTGAAGTCTAACCATCACTTCCGTGCATTTATTTTTTCGCAACAAGTGAAAAAAGCCGACAAGCCGACAAGTAAAATGTGATTTTCCTGATGTTGTTGTTGGAACAGAACAAGGATGCGGTGATCTTGAGTGCAGAGTCCATGATGTGGTACTATGGTGGGGGTTCATCCTGAATATCTGGTTCGCAATCCCTCACAGCAAGTTTCGCATTAGGTCAGTCTCCAAGACCCAGAAGTCTCGTCACTTCTTTATGCCTCGCACGCCGGGACTCCCGCCCGCTTTCATCCAAGTCTGTGGGCTTGATCCCCTTCGAGATGAAGCATTCCTGTACGAGGATCTGCTCAGAAATGAAGGTACGAGCACGAGAATCGCATGCATTCCACTACATTTTGCCGATTATTCAGATGACAGTCAAATGGGAAGAAGATTTACGGTCTGGCCTTCGATGGTTGTTGGTTGAGGCACCCCAGTGAATGTATCATGCTGAGCTGGCATCACGGCGGCGATCAATACTGGCCGCTTTCCGTACCTGACCCCGAATTCACTCTGTACATTGCTCAAATCAAGCATTTCCACAAGATGACATAGATACACGAAGAAAGCAAGTCAACTCGTTTGCACTTGCAACATCCAACACAACCTATGGCTCTCGGTTGCCCAAATGTGCTCCTTTCCTTTTTGCACAGGTCACTTTACTGACTTGTAGTCTCGGCCCAGATACGGAGTACCGCGTCACCGACCATCAGGTTAGCGTTGCGAACGGGAAAATTCGAGTTAAAGTCAATCTGTGGCCTGGGGAATGGTGAATAAGCTCGGTTTTTGTGTTTTCGAACGTAGCACGATCATCTTTAGAGAGAATGTAGAGGTCGAAATTCTGGAGCGACAGGGTTGTGGGCAAATGATGGCAAAATGCGACGCAAAATGAAATCAAAACCAAAATGGACACACGGAGAGTCGAACTCCGGACCTCCCGCAACTAAACACGATGCGAAGCGGGCGCAATAACCAACTATACTATGAGCCCAACGGACGGGTACGCAAAAGATCAGCCCCTGAGATGAGACCGACCGTGCCGCGGATACAACGCGCTTTGGGATTTACCGGCTTGCCGGCGCGGAGACAGGCTTGCTCCGAACCTACCGCGACCCCTGCCACCTTGTTGAACATTGAAAAAGTCAGTCCGCGGCGCCGGCATTGGTCTCCGTCAAATATAAGTAGCCTCTCATGGCCTTCAGATTTCCCTGTCGCATGCCTGTTGACCACCCTCCGCCACTGCACGGTGATCTAGTCGACGGCCGTCCGACCCCAACGTACATACTCGCTTGGGTCTGCCCTCCTCGTAAATTCTTCGAGAACCTCGGAGGCGGGACACTCGGAAAAGTGAACTACCGCAACTTCTCCGACGTAGTCTCAGAGAAATGGGTTGCCAGGCCTGGCTTTGGGTGCGTTCTCGCCATCTTTCATCCCGGCCGTTTCCTCACCTTGACACCAACTTGCAGTCTCGCCCATGCACCCCTGCCCTACCCAGGAGCGGATGGGAACTTTTACCTCGTCGCAATGTTCAATAGACCCGATACGGACCACTTCACACGAGTACGCAATGTGGCCGAAGATCCCCTCATTGAATCCGCGAGAGTCTCGATGGGTGTGGACCAAGACAAGTCTCTCGAGGACACCCTGCAGTGGTACCGATGGCCGCTGCATTGGCTTCATGCAGAGCAGCGCGAGCGGGAGAGGGTAAAGGAGTTGACACAGCTGCAGAATGAATTAGAAGACAATGGACCGACGGAGCCATCGCAGGTCGCCGTCCATTGACAAACTGATACGATTGCATTACAAGGAATGTCTTCCTGCATGTATATTAATGGAATCTGGTGCGGTTCAATGGATCTTTGAGGTGGCATAATTATATTCACTTAAGCGCTCAACTCCAGCCTAAATTCGTGGTTTCATGGCTGCATTGCCCTACTTTCCATTTCATCTCACTCATGGCCCCTACCAATCACTCATTTGTTGACGGTCCAAATCAAACTTGGGTTCATTTCTACTATTCACTCTCGGACTATGAGTGATACGCGTCCAAGTTGACGGTGTTCTCGGGCGTTGAGACCCTCGTCATGTTGTGAGATTGTCATGCTACTGAATCTCGTTATCTCAGCAACTCATTCACCTTTGCCAAATGTTTTCAACCGCATTTCTAGTTCGCAAGCAAAATCATCAGTTTCGGCAACTATTCAGCCGAGTTGAATTTTCACTTTTGCCGGTATGTTAGAAAATCACGATTTTCCTCTGCGGCCTGATTTTAGCGTGTTTTTGGACTCTTCTCGCATGAAAGCAGCATTTTCGTAAGTATCTGGGTCCAGATTAGGTTGTTGAACGAGTTTTTGGCCCACCAAATCTGCCGAACTTGGTGATTTCTGTCCGCACCCTGACCGGGGCTTGCTGGCTCTCGAGGTTCATTTTTGTCCGTTCCGGACCTAGGTTTCAGGTCCAAAACCCCAACATTTTGTCCGCGCCCGGATCTAGCCTCAAAAGGGATTGACAGGGGTCCTGGGGAGGGTCGGTCCACATTTATGATTTGGGTGGAAAGTGATGCCGCGGGGGCCCGAAAATGTACCCGTCTTAGTCCGGTGAGCGGCTTTCAACCAGTACTCCCGAAACACGCGTCCCAGGATACGGATATGAGCCAGCCGATTTGATTATGTGCGTCCAGCCTCTCGTTCTCAGTTTTCTCCATTTTGGGACTTTGGCGTTTCTTTGTATGGTCTTGTTTCTGCAAGTCTTCCTTCATCTCCCGCGTCCTCATCATGTCTGTGCGGCGATCCGGGTTGCAAAAAGAGGTTCTCAGTCTCTACCGACGGTTGTACTCTCCGCTGCATTTCCTTGTCGTCAGCTAACTGATCTGCAGAGCGCTCCGCATTCCCCGCACCAAGCCGCCGCACACGCGCGCAAAATGGGACCTCATGTTGCGGTACAAATTCCACAAACAGGCCGCGACCGCGACCGCGCGCGAGGTCAACATCATCGAGTTTCTCCTGCGCACGGGCCGGCGCGAAGTGAGCACGTATGAAGACAAGTCCGTAACGGACTGCTGGGTATCGGAGGATATGCGCGCGTGGGGGGAGCAGCGGACTAAAACCAACTAAAAGTACTGTATGATTTAATGCTGCTATGCTACATGCACGCGGGGTCCGCGTTTGCGACTCGAAGCACCGGTGGCCAGCTGCTGCTCCCTGTATGGTGCGTGTGCAAGCTTCTGCGCCTTGGTCCATCGGGCCTTCCTTTCTCCATCCGTCGGAGGCGCCTTGCCCTCTCGCCGCGCTCGTACCTTTACACCCGCGCGCTGGGTCCGCGGGGACGGTGGGATAAGTTTTTCGCGCAGCTGTTTCGTGTGCTGCTTGTGCCACTCGGTCGTCTCTGCGTTGATCTTGAACTTGAGCACCTCCGCGTTGGTCGCGTCCTCGCGCTCCTTCTCCACGAGTGCGGCCGCCCCCTCGTACGCGAGCCGGCGCTCGTTCATCACGCCCTTGATGCGCGCCATCGACTTTTTGCACTGAAATAGATGTCAACGCGGCGCACAATCGGTGCACACGCCACTTACGCGCATTGTCAGCGCGTGGGTCGATATACGGCGCTTCAAGACGCCCATGCGGCGCATCTCCTCCCGCTGCGTTGCGAGCACGTTGCACTCCCGCAGCAACACGTACCACAGCGTGTGCAGGTCCTTGAAGCTCTTCAGCCGTAACTCCGACGCCTCCCATGACCGTCCTAAGCTGTACCTGAGTTATCCGGGACGAAGGAACCAATAGACGAGGCTAACCGTTCATCGGGGCCTCTTGGTCGTGAAACGTCTCATACTGGTCGTCACCGCGGAGGTTCGGGTCTGCCTTGCGGCGGAAAAAACCGTATAGACCGTGGTCGGGCGATAGTTGCGGCACGGGCTCTACGGAAGGAGTCGGGGTTTTTCTATGGACCCTCGTCCGGCCAGAACCTATGGCCAACGGGACATGACTGCTGCTCCCATGATTTACGGGAGCTCCAAGAAGAAGCGGCGCAGAATCGGATGGTGCAGCGAAATGGCGCACACAACGAGGCGATATCCGTCGGCCAGCGCGTAAAGTCGACGAGAGCATCGAAAAATTGAAGTTGTTTGGCAACGACAAATATTCGGCCAACGCCGGACCCCTTTCAGACCAGTCTTGACTTGTCGATAGTATGCATTTCTGTCAAAGAGGTACGTGTCATACAAAAAGATAGGTAGGCTCGACAACCACGGAAAGATACATAGAAGATAAAACACATAAGTAGATTCAAGCACATAATTAGGCGCGTGTGCGCTCCACGCATCCACCCACTCCCTACTCGCTCCTGCTCCTGATCCCGATAGATGATATATGGTTCAAAAAAGGCTCGACGGCGCTCAAAATGTGGAGATTGCGCTGGGCGCAGGTCGGGGTCCCGGGCGCACATTCTTGCGTGCGGCAGCGGCAGCCGCGGCCGCATTCTCCATCTCCTGCTTGGCCGCACGGAGAGCGGCACTGCGGTTCGTGCGCGGGGCGATGGAAGGTGTAGAGACGCTGCTCGGGCGCGGCTTCGGCCGCACGGGTGCAGCGGCTGCGGGGGCGGGGCTTTCGCTGCTTGCCGACCCATTGCGGTTAGTGAGTGTAGGTTTGGCGGGGATGATCGGGGCGCGGGGTGCCGGTGGACGCATGTCGACACTGGAGGGGCGCGGCGCGGTGCGCTTGGGCGTGGACACGGAAGCCGCGGACGCGGGGCGAGAGGGAGGCTTGGTCTGCAGCGAGCTTGTCGAGTTGCTTCGCGAAAGCCCGGGAAGCTTTGGTGCTGTTGGTGGACGGACTGCGAATACAACTTTTTAAGTACCGTTCTTATGATGCATTGGTCAAGGCTGAGCTTACACTGGAACGACGACGGCGGGCCCTGGTCTTTGGACGCCCGCAACGCTGCGCTCTTGTTCAGCCGCGGGGCGACAGTCGGGGCCTGGACCGACGCGACAGAAATTGTTTCTCTGCGCTTGTGGCCAGGCACGCCATCGAACGTCTGTTTGTCTGTGCCGTCTGTCCCGGTCGTCCTCCTGACGGGCGCCGGTGGGGGAAGGCCCAGTCGCAGAGCGGTGGCCCGGGTCATGCGCGGCGCGATGGTAGGCGCGGCAGTGGATGCCACCGCAATGCTCTCCGCACGCTTGTGGCCCGGGACATTCGCGAAGGTCTTCGCGAGCTGATCCTTGGTAAGGGGCGCCCGGGGCACCGACGGGCCACCCTTCTCGAGAACCACGCCGGCGCGTAAAGCTGCGGCGCGGGTAGTGCGTGGGACGATGTCCGGATTGGTGTGCGTCGTTGGCAGTGCGCGCGCCCGGAACGACGGCTTGCCGTTGGCCGCGAGGCTGGGCCTTCCTGTGGTTGATGGATTAGATGGTGCATATCCCTCGTCGGAAGTGTTTTGCCGAAGGGCCTCTAGTACGGAAGACGACATGGAACGCATAGAAGCGTAACGGCCTTCCACGTCGGGGAGCTCAGAGGAAGGGAACGGTGGAGAGGACGCAAACAGAGAGGCGATTTGAATCTCAGCCGTCTGGCTATCTGGGGAACCCATGAGCGCGTTCCGATCCAGCACTGTCCCGTACAGAGCGCGGAGGGAATTCGGAGCCTCCTGCCGCGCAACCTCAGGATCCCTGTCGCCCATCAGCGTAATCCAGACTTCCACCGCCCGTCGACGCTCGAGGACGTAGACCCAGACCGGACCCCTGCACCGTGTCTCAGTATCATGCGAATAGGAATACGGAACAGTACCCACTCGCCCAACGACTCCGCATCATCGCCAAACAGCTCATACAACGTCTCTGGGTCCGTCTCGACGTCAAACTCCATCTGACGCTCTTTCACAATCTGCGGGGTGGTTAGTTTTGGTTCCGGCGGAAAAAAGTGAGACCAACCTCAAAACTCGCTTCCTGGATCCGGCGCTCGATATCAAACCGGTGCGCGAGAGCATGGTTCTTGATGATAGCGA